CACCTCAAATCTGATAGTATTTTAAGAACTGGTGAATTACCCTAACTAATCCTTTAAGGTTGGAGGTTTGCCTAAAGGTTTATTTTTATTTTTTTCCCTTTTTATGGACCATCAAAGTCCATCATATTATTTGGGAGAGGGTCTAGGCCCTCCTTGCTGTATCTGAGCTGCAATAGTATCCCTCCATAGGGAATGGGCTCCCAAAGTCCATTTGTGCTCTAGGGTTAAAGACTGGCTCCACTGTTAGAGATCCCATAGACTGTCTAGGACTCCTAGCTGGCACCCACATTTAGAGGGCTTGGATCAGTCCAATGCTGGTTCCCCAGCTTTACAACTAGGGTCTCCATGCTCTCACTAGGTCAGGTCAACTGTTTCTGTGGGTTTCTCCAGCACTGTCTTGGCTCCCTCTCCACAACTGGATTCCAGGAGTATGGTTCAGTGCTTACCTGTGGGTGCCTGTTTCTGTTTCGAACAGCTACTGGATGAAGGCTCTAGTAATGGTAGCCAAGGTAGTCATCAATCTCATTATAGGGGAAGGGCATCAAAGGCAGCCTCTCACCACTGCCTAAATTCTTAGTTGGAGTAATCCCTATGGATCCCCTGACATTTCCCCTGTGCCAGACCTCTCTCCAAACCTATACTGTCTCCCTCTATCAAGGCATCTCCTTTCTTGCCCTCTTCTATTCCTCCCCTGTCTCGGTCCTCTTGTTCTTCTCCCCCCTCCTCTTCTCCCTTTCCTATCTCCTTTCTCCCCCCACAGTGCTCCCAATTTTCTCAGGGGTTCTTGTCCCCCCTTCTTCTGGAGACTATGCAGAAGTCCTCCTTGTTTCCTAGTTCTTCTGGCAGTGTATTGTAAATTTTTAATCCTTCGCTCTATGTCTAAAATTCATATATGAGTGAGTACATACCATGTTTGTCTTTTTGTGACTGGGTTACCTCACTCAGGATGGTTTCTTCTAGTTCCATCCATTTGCCTGCGAATTTCAAGATTCTGTTGCTCCCCACCACCCAAGGAGTAGTATGCAATTGTGTAAATGTAAACCACATTTTCTCTATCCATTCTTCAGTTAAGGGGCATCTACATTGCTTCCAGGTTCTGGCTATTACAAATAATGCTGCGATGAACATGGTTGAACATATGTCCTTGTTGTATGAACATGCAGAGAGGAATTGCTGGATATTGAGGTAGGCTGTTTCCCATTTTCCTGAGAAACCACCATACTGATTTCCAAAGTGATTGTACAAGTTTACACTCACCAGCAATGGAGGAGTGTTACTCTTTCTCCACATCCTCTCCAGCACAGACTGTCATTGGTGTCTTTTATTTTAGCCATTCTGACAGGAGTAAGATGGTATCTCAGAGTTGTTTTAAGTTGCATTTCCCTGATGGCTGAGGATGTTGAGCACTTTCTTAAGTGTTTTTCAGCCCTTTTAGATTCCTCTGTTGAGAATTCTCTATTTAATTCTGAACCCCACTTTTTAATTGGATTATTTGGTGTTTTGGTGGCTAGCTTCTTGAGTTCATTGTATATTTTGGTGATCAGCCCTCTGTCAGATGTGGGGTTGGTGAATATCTCTTCCCATTCTGTGGGCTGCCGTTTTGTCTTGCTGACTGTGTCCTTAGTCTTACAGAAGTTTCTCAGTTTCAGGAGGACCCATTTATTAATTGTTGATCTTAATGTCTTTGCTACTGGTGTTATGTTCAGAAAGTGGTCTCCTGTACCAATTCATTCGAGGGTACCACCTACCTTCTTTTCTAGGAGATTCAGTGTGGCTGAATTTATGCTGAGGTCTTTGATCCATTTGGACTTAAGTTTTGTGCATGCTGATAGATGGATCTATCTGCAATTGTCTGCATGTCCGATTCCAGTTGTGCCGGCACCATTTATTGAAGATGCTCTCTTTTTTCCACTTTATGTATAACTTTAGCTTCTTTGTCTAAAATCAGGTGTTGGCAGGTGTGTGGGTTAATAGCAGGGTTTTCAATTCGATTCCATTGGTCAACCTGTCTACTTTTGTGCCAATACAAAGCTGTTTTCAGGACTATGGCTCTATAATAGAACTTGAAGTCAGGGATAGTGATGCCTCTGGAAGTTCTTTATTATACTGGGTTGTTTTGGCTATCCTAGGTTTTTTTGTTTTTCCATATGAAGTTGAGTATTGTTTTTTCAAAGTCTGTGAAGAATTATGTTGGGATTCTGTTGGGAATTGCATTGAATTTGTAGATTGCTTTTGGCAAGACTGACATTTTTATTATGTTGATCCTACCTATCCATGAATATGGGAGATCTTTCCATCTTCTGCAGGGATGGATCAACATACAAAAATCCATCAATGTAATCCACCATATAATAAACAGAAAAAGAAAAACCACATGATCATCTCACTAGATGTTGAAAAAGCCTTTGACAAAATCTGACATCCTTTCATGATAAAGGTCTCGGAAAGATCAGCAATAACAGGAACATACTTCAATATGATAAAAGCAATATGCAGCAAACCAACAGCCATCATCAAACTAAATGGAGAGAAACTCAACGCAATTCCTCTAAAATCAGGAAAAAGTCAAGGCTGTCCACTCTCTCCATATCTCTTCAAAATTGTCCTTGAAGCTCTAGCTAGAGCAATAAGACAACAAAAGGAGATCAAGGAAATAAAAATTGGACAGGAATAAGTCAAACTCTCACTATTTGCAGATTAAATGATAGTTTACATAAATGACCCAGAAAACTCTACCAGGGAACTCCTACAGTTGATAAACACCTTCAGCAAAGTGGCAGAATACAAAATTAACTCAAAAAACTCAGTAGCCCTACTATATACAGAGGATAAGTGTGCTGAAAAAGAAGTCAGAGAAACATCAACCTTTACAATAACAACAAACAACATAAAATATTTTGGGGGTAACATTAACCAAACACATGAAAGACCTGTATAGTAAGAACTTTGAGTCTTTAAAGAAAGAAACTACAGGTTTATTTTTGCTTGCTGGTAGGGCAATGGTGACAGAAATATTTCACTTGAAAGCCTGCCTTAGAAAGTCTCAGATTATTCTCACATAAATAATCTCTGCTTGCATAATTTTTGTTCCACTTTTATCCCTCTTTCCCCAATCTCCTCCATATTTGCTGCCACATTGAGATAATCATTAGTGTTTATTCAGATCTCCATGGTGACAATCCATTCTCTGGTCTCCACGGTGACACATGCAAACACTTATAACCTCTCAAATTCATTTTGTTTGTTTATTTGAAATGTCTACTGATTTGATTTATCAGCCTACTCCATGCATAACAACACATATATACTTTCCAAGAATAAAAGAGAAGATAAAGTAAAATAATATTTATACCCCCTTTTAAAGATTTATTTTATATTTTAATCTTGTGAGTTCCAGTGCCCATGAGACCAGAGGTATCAGAGCCTCCTGGAGCTTGTGAACTGCCTTCCATGAGTGCTAGGAACCTGATCAAGTTTTCTGCAAGAGTAAAAGCTATATTCATGCTTGACTGCCAGTCATGCATGCAGTCCCTGAAACATGTTTTATACATAAATAATCTCATAAACTGTTTTGGGAAGTATCATGAAGGAGTATGTCACCATAAGACCTTAAATCTACACTTTATTTTTGGAAGCTCACCAAGGCTTTTGTTAACACTGAGACTGATGGCTAAAACCAGGATGGATGTGGAAAACAGAAACAATGGCTTACCTCAATGGATGCTTCATTCTAACATTCTTAATACTGTGGCAGGAAAATAGAAAAATAATTGTTGTAGTTCCTTCCAGGTCAAATATTTTCTTCTCTGAAAAATGGAGGGGGGAGTTTAATCCCAGAAGCATCCTAGTTCCTGGTTAAAATGGTATGTTATATTTACTTATCAAGTATAAATGTTCTGATGTGAAAGAGTTAAGTAATTATCAAGTTGCTCTTACTAGCCAACTGATAACATAATTCTTCTGGACTATTACCCAGCGTTTTCATCAAATAAGAGAAATTTGGGGGTGAACAGGACAAGAGTGAGATGCATGGTTTTTAGAGTGCATCATTGCAAGTTTGCAAAATATCTCCAAGAACTATGAAGAAATATATTTCTCTCTTTTTTTTCATTTTTATAAAACACTAAATTTATTCAAAGTGTTAAAAGATTTCACTCTCCCCTCCAAAATACTTTATAACTAAAAAAAAATCAAAACTACTTTCTCAACCACTGTTACTTCCTTTTCTTAGGACCAGACTGTCCCTCCAAACCTTTCCCTCCATGCTTCCACAGTACCCCGCCTGCCTTGACTGCCCAGCAGAGCCCATCATGGCTTTCCAGTCCTTTTTGGCAGAAAGGCTGACTAGACGGGAAATTCACAGGTGATGCCCAAGAGACAGTGGGGTGCTTTGTGCTTTTGGGAGAACAGCTAGTTGGGATTTTTTTTAAGTGGGTCACTGTTTTTTGCCCATGGACACCTGTTTAGAGCCAAATATTTGGCTTAGGGTCACCCCAGCCTTGTCAAGCCTTTGTCCAGATCTCCCTAGGCATGGGTCCATGACAACTGCATCTGAAGACTGTACCATCCTTCTCCTTTTAAACTGATGTTAAGAACAGAAAAAGTGGCACAAGGGAAGTGGGGTTTGATGGAGTTCCCAACTTTTTAGAATATGGGCACCAAAACCCCAAAGCAGCAGCTTTGGGTTTTGTAGGCAATGAGCCAGGGCCTGCTAGGACCACAGGAAGTAGGGTAGTAAAGGGAACAGTCTAAAGACATGAGTCTAGGGTAAGCAAAGCTCCTTCTGAGATCCCCTTCCCATCCTCCCTCATCTTGTACTTCCCAGGATGATTCTAGAAAAGAGGACGCAACAGAAGGAAAGGTTTCTGCGGTGGTGATGGGTAAGGCAGGAGATGATAGCTGTTCAGGGCTGGGGAAGGGCCTTCTGGAATTTGTAGCTGGCCGTTTTCCTGTTCTGTGAAGTGGGTTGGGGGCCAGAAGCCGGGCCCACAAAGACTTCTTCAGCTCTGTTCCTTGTCCTTAACTAGTAAGACTGTGTGCTGGCCTCCACTGGACACAGTTAAGACCACTCGGTTCTCTAGCTTTTTGCCAGTCATTTCCACAGGGCTCCAGTCATCTTCATCCTGCCCTGTGCCCAGCTGGTAGTTGGTGCCCATGCCCCAGGCAAAAACACAACCATCCTTGGACACAGAACATCCTACAGAAGCCCCACAGGCCACTGAGGAGACGACGGGCAGCCAGGAAATGAGGGTTGGTATGCTCTTCTCCTCGACACCCTCCCCAAGGCCCAGCCGCCCATATTCAGCCCTGGCCAGGCTGTATGCGTTTCCTTCTGAATCCACGCAGATTGTATGTTGCTGGCCAGTAGAGAAGCCCACACAGAACTTAGTGGAATTCTTGAAGGATGTCAAGTTCTGAGGAATGAAGCAAGATGCAGTGTCCGGAGTTCCAAGCTGGTGATAGTTGGAGAGGCCAAAGCCATACATATGGCCTTCATGGGAGATGGCAAAAGTGAAATAGGCACCACAGAAGGCATCCTGGAACCGCACACGGCCCCGACTTCCCCTGGATTTTAGCAGCACACACTTGGGGACCAGGAGTCTCTCAAGGCCCTGACGGACACTTTGGTTGGCAAATAACTCAGGCACACGGCCCAGCTGACCCTGCTCCCCACACCCCAAGGT